AACTGTCGACGCACGCAAGGAATCGTAAGGCAGGTGGTCCAAAATTCGATAACCCAGTTCAGCTTGCGCATCGAGAGATAGAAAGATCGCACCTTTCAGGCTCCAATCTTTCGGCGTCATGGAGTTCCCGATCGTCAGAACCTGCCATCGTCGGATCTCACCAAGCTCTTGAGCTCCTCCGTCGGGTACTTCGTCACCGACAGCACGATCCATTTCTCCGACCGGAAATTAGCGTACGGGGAGGTCTTGTCGGCAATGGTTTGGATGGAATTCCAGCTGATTTGCGGGAGACTGAGAGACTGAAGCGACTGAGTTGACAGGGACTGGAAGCAGAGGAGAGAAGCTGTGTCGGTGGTATTATAAAGGAAGAAGAGAGCAGATACGGTGACGATGAAGAGGAAGAAGACGCCGATTCTGTAGACATTGTCGGAAACCCATGTCGAGAAATCTAGGTTTTTTGACATTTCCGAATCTGTGGCTCTGATGGTGAGTAGGCAATGCTCTGATTCTGTGGGTTCGGCGACTTGGGTGCCCCACGATCCTGAACCAACATCGGATCAAACCATATACCCGAAACCCAGAAACGAATCCGAATCAGAAATCACACCCGAAATGGAAAAGGAAAAAAGGCTCAGGGCTTTGATTCAGGTTTCCCCCTCATTTCCAAGAACTTGAGCTTCTCTTTTCCCCGGGAAACCAAAAAAAAAATGAAGAAGAAGAGGTTGGTTGATTCTCTGCAATTGTTAAGTGGCTGTTGTCCGAAGGAGCTGTTGCTTAAGCTTCAATGGTAATGCAACCGAAGTCGTTCAGTGTCTTAATCTTTTCTTTTTCTTTTTTCTGTTCATTTTCAGTTACCAATCTTTTTATTTAAAAAAACATTTCTGGCGGACTACAGTCATCATGTGGAGCTATAGGTTAAATAAATCCCGTCAATCCATCATTTTTTTAATTATTCTGAATAAATTACAGAATTTTGTAATAATTTTTACAATCTATGAGATGAATTATATGCGTTATGCGATGGGATCCTGTATTATTATCCAATGATTTATGTGTTAATACAAATAAAGAATATAAAATTCAACTAAGCTCAATGGATCGATAACAAGAATGAAGATTGGCCCAATGGAAAGCCCATTATCTGACACTCGGCCCATCAATTTTCTATTTAAGAATGCCCTACGAAAGAAGAGAGAGAAACCATTTGGGAGAAAGAATTCAAAAAAAGAAATTCGGATCGATCGCGCCATTCCCAGAAACGCAGTGAAAACTTGCTTCAGAAGTAAGCTTTGAAGATGTCCGAGTTTCCGACTGATCTCGAGAGAAAAGTTGCTTCTTCTCTTCTCCTACTTTCCACCGATCCGGTACTCTCCTCGCCATCGAGGTAACGATCCTGTCGAATCGGTTTCCGTCAAATTTCATGGTTCCGAGTCCTAGATACCTGTTTTCTTTCTTCGTTTCTGGATTTGTTGTTTCTGATCCTCGTTTTGGTGAGTGATAGATCTGGATCTGAGAAAAAATCGGTTGAGAAGAGCAAGAGGAATTGCCACGACAGCTTGAGCTTGAGCTTGGTGTCTACTGGATCCAGATCTTGTGGTTCGTCCTTGTCCAGCGATGGTTCGTCTCAGAAGAGCAACGATCGCGGCTTCAAAATCAACTCCATGGACGTTACTTACCATCTCTTTAAGCTCAAGGTGCGATCTCTCAGCCTCATCTCTGTTTCTGAAGGGAAGCTGTTTCGGCATCTGTGTTGCTTCTGCCGAAATATTTGAACGTTTAAGGATTTTGACTGACTAGCGCTTTTCGGAACACTATCTGCTGATTTTATACGATTGAACTGATTTTATTTGTTTAATTTTGCTAGAATTTGGCTCTTAAAACCTTTGTTTTATTACTACTTGTCAATTCAATCTCTGATGTAAGCTATGCTGGATTAATGATTATTTATCATGTCTAAATTCTAATCACGTTTTCTTCGGGAAATGGTTAATTTACGGAATTCAAATTCATTCTGTTCCTCAAATTTTGAATTTCATCTTGGACTTGTTTGAATTTCGACACACTTATTATTTATTTGAAACTATCATCCTGCAGAGGTAAAACCGATTTCGATCTTTAGAATTTTCTTGATTGGAGGCCACAACTTGGAAGTTCACATTACCATGACTACAATTCTTGCAGCCTGTGAAAAAGCGGCGTTCGAAGGTCTTTTGGAGCTCCATCAATCTGAAGAATCCGGTGTTTGATCTCTCAATATGCTCAGACGATTCCAAAGAGGAATCATGCTTGTCAAGTGGTTCGAGTGAGGTTTCGAGTATAGAAAGGAACGAAAAGGCAAATGGAGAAATAAATAAGAAAGAGAGTTGCAGGTCGAGTTCCATTCGCCGTAGAGCTGATGCCATCTTAGAGTTTCTTTCTGCAAACTGTTCTTCTGAAGTTACTATCCGCCAGGTTCTCGGCGATAGCCCCGACACCAGCAAAGCTCTCAGAATGTAAACCCTCTCTCTCTCTCTCATACACACACAGGCACATATTTGATGTGATCATATAACCCTCTTCTATCCCAAGGCTTTTTCCATAAGTCCGATGAATTGAACAGAACATATGTACATAACTGAAATCTTCACATACCCTTATGAGATCACCCTCCTGGTTCAGGCTGTTGAAGATGGAAGAAGTCAAGAGGTCTGGCACAGGAGGAAGGCAGGACCCTTATATTTACAAGGTGTCAGAAATCATCGATAATCCCCTCCCTGTTTCCATCTTTACGTTCGTAAAGAAGATTTCACATATAAACATTAATTCTTTCTGCTCTGATCAATTGCCATGTTTTTATGCTGCTCCTTTTCCTGCAGATTGCATGATGAGGATCTATGACTTGACGAAGACAGGTAAGACGTATCCTCTTCTGGTTTTTATACAACATGATTCAGTTCTTTGACATGGTAATTAGGAGAATGAGAGAATGTATAGGTGGTGCTATAACTCGAATATTATGAACTTTGGCCTCTTAGCTCTGACATGAGTTCTTAAATATTTAGCACATGCAAAACACGATCTCCAAACTATTAAGCCGACAAGTCTTGTTATGAGACTGCGTTTGGTTGGTTTGTTTTTTTTTTTTTTTTTTTTTTTTTTTGGTTAATGTCGGCCTTGGATTTGCTTGCTTGCTTGCCTTTAGTTTAAGTAGTCAAGTGAATTACCACAAACTTCGGCATGTCATCGTCATCCTCCACTATCCTTTGTAAAAAAATAATAATAAATAAAGCTTCAAAGCTATTAAAAACAATCAGACTTCCTTATTATATCAAAATTTACTGCATGGTTCGTATCATTTTCATAGATAAATGAAAAGAATATTACACATATATAGCGTTTACATTTTAAAACCACATTTTATAATCAAATTGGAAGAGCCGACTTGGTTCGGCGATAATTAAGTTCATTTGTCGTGGGTTGAGATTGCGAGTTTGAATCAACCTCTCTACATAAAAAAAATAAATAAGGGTAAGATTATCTTAGTATATTCCTTTACCGGACACCCAACACCCTACCAAATAAGAACTCGAATTGGCAATAGTTTGAATCAATCTCTCTACATAAAATATATGACTGGTCCTTTATTTTATAATCGAATTGGTAATATCTATTTAATACAAATATGATATATATTACATATATGATAAAGTGGTTTATATAGTTCGTAGAGATGGATTTAGAAACTCTAGAGAAGCAAGTTTATCCAATTAATAGGATTAAGAGAATTAAAGAAATTTAAAATTAACATTTTTAGAATTTTGAAATTAAAAAAAGGTTTAATAGGCTCGCGGATAATAAAGTAACACGTTTATTTCTTACATTTAAATTTAAAATTGATTGGGAAAAAAAATCTCAATTAACGGACCGGAACAACCTTAACATCATCAAGAACAGGTCCACAAAGATGCCCAAAGTCATGCAGCTTGGTATGATAAAACCCACTATAGAACGTTATCCTCGTGCGGACCGAAATGGCCCGAAACGCGAAGCGCCCAGTTTTAAACGCGCCGTTGCCCCGCGATTCGAAACGCAGTTTTAGCGTCTCCTTGGCCGCGAAGGCCTCCACCATCATGGACCCGTGACAGTCGTTGCGGGCGTCGCCGACGGTGAAGGAGAGCGTGTAGTTTCTGCCGGAAACTGTACGGACGATCTGAGATAAGGCGCTCTCTCTGCCGGCGACGAGCTCGACGGCGGCGAGTCCGGCGGGGACCTTGAAGTGACGGCTGTCGATGTACTTGACTGGTTTGAGTGATTCGACGATCCAACCGGGAAGAGGAGTGATTCTGTCTTGGATCTTCGCCGGAATCAATACTCCGGTGGAGAAGTTCTTGAACACGTGGGGGCCGATCTCGAATCCTCCGTTTTTCACAAGGTTTCCTTTTTTGGGGAGAAATTAAAAGTTAAGGGTCAAATCATAATAGTATGTAAATTCAAGGGACTGAAACGAAAAAGTAGCCAAGCCCAAACCAAACCCATCGTAACCATTGGTTTAGTCCGGTTCCAATCTGCTCATCAAATTTGTCATGAACCGGTTCATCCAAAGGTCGATGGCTGAACTATTTCCTTCGGTATACATTTTGATTTTGTTACGTAAAACCAATTTATATGAATCAAATAATAAATAATCGTATATTTACCAAGTTTGATATAAAATGAATTAGGTATGCCTTTTTTATATCGAAACTCAAAATCAAATATAAAAACCATAAAATAATATTTTTGAAAAATAAACATTTTTATCAATAAAAATCGAATAGAATCCAATATGAAGACAAATCTAAAACTAAATACAGAAACAACTTTATCAATAAACCTCTAACATTCATATCCTTTCAAATTATTAATTTTTTTAAAAAAATAACTAAGAAGTCTATCTTAAAACTAGAATCTCCTAGTCACAGCAGCTAAATACACAAACCAAATAATCAAAATCAGTGCTTATGCTAAACCGGAAGAAACCGGTTAACAACGATATTATTAGTTATTACCTTTAGTGTACCGGAGAGGAAGCATCTCCTTAATGGCAACAGCATCCAAGAGGGGTCCACAAGAAGGATCTTCTTGAACACCTGGATTATGGAACGTGACTGTAACCACATCGGACATTGCCTCGAACGCCCAACCGTACGTGTCCCCTCCGTCCGAACTGAACACTGTCTGAATCGGCAGTTCACTCACCTGTCCTGCCGCCGATATACGGACCCTCTCGTCCTGAACGCACGTCCTCGTCGCTCCGAACGTTACAGAGTAGATCGAGCCGCGCTTCACTCGCACGTTCTGAGAGATCGAGGCCAAGTTCCCCAGCCTGACCGCGTGGACGCCACGTGGCACCTGGAAGTAGAATCCACCTGGCTGTGGGCCACCGGAGATTATCTCCACGTGGCCGGAGATTTCCCAGTGTGGGAGTGAGTATTTGCCTATGATTTGCCTGTTCTTCATGTCTGATATTCGAGGAATTTGCTCAAAGTTTCCATTTGGGAGAAGCCCTACCAAAAAAAAAAAAAAAAAAAATCCCGGCTGATTTAACGAATATAGTGACAAGATTTGTAGAATAATGTTTGGGTTTTTCATGTTTTGGTTCCAAAATATATATATACACTCTAATAGTGTAATGAAACGTTTGTGCGTATGCAATAATTCAAAATAGTCATTTTAAAAAGGGACGATGAAAAATTACTAAAAGTATGGTTCCATCTATGTTTCCATCCACGTGCCCCATTGCAAAAAGATGGACAGCCGAGTATATATATATATATATGTATCTTGACAATAAGAAATTTAACGAATAACTATGCTTACCATCGAGAGGGACAGCACGGGGTTGGATACGAGAGCCATGGCAAAGAGAAAGAAGAAGAGCAAAACAAAGAGAGAGAAAGAGAGACATTAGGGCTTCGTTTACTTAGAGAAACAAGAACGAGTCCCTACATATAGATATATATATATATATATATACACACACGGACGAGCATTTGTGAGATTTATAAAGTTGAAATGCATCTAGATTTGTGGAAATATAGAGATATATTGTCATTAAAAACATATATAATAAACAAATACGGTAATACGCCGACGTACGTATATAAGCAATATGAAGGAGATTAAGTCGGCCCACGTTGGATTCAGCACCAAATGAGCCGCAAGTTGCGTTGCATTGTCTGTCCATGCATTTTTTTTTTCCCCCAAGAGCTTTCCAGTACGAATTTCATATCCCCATGCATCATTTTTGTATTATACAGAAAATAGATAACCCCATATATACGGTTTCATTAATTAAGGGGCAACTAACTTTCTCGAGAACGACTTTCTATAAACCGAAGATAACATGACAGAATATTGTTTAAGTGTGCTAATTAACACTCCAAAGTCCAAAGTGTGGCGGGTTATCAAAACATTTAAAAGACAAATCAAGAGCCGAAACATTAAATTTTTATAACGAAATGATATTTATTTTATTTTTTCTACAACCGAATAGCCTTAACTAATGTCCCGACAAATCTTAAAGATCTGAAACAGGTATATGATTTGGAACATGCGTTTTCTCTCCAAACTCAAAGCTCGAATCCGGAATGGGATACAGACGCTTTGTGTCTTGTTTCATCTGTGAATTTTTTTTAGATATGTACATAGTTTATCAGATCCAAATATTATTATAAATAAATAAGTTGGAATGACCCGTACGCCTATTTTTTCTGTTGCTATTACTATTAAGATCAGGTTAATAAATGATTGTAGACATATACGTACGTACGTACGTATGCATATACGTATACTTACAAATCAATATATATATATATATATATATACACCAGATGGGGTGTCTGCTGTGCGATTTCTTCGCCGTGATTCGCTCTCAAATCAAATGGTGCATTGAAATATGAATGGGAAACCTAAACCGATTCAGAAGAAAATCTTAAGCAAAAAGATTCTTTTCATTGTGTCGTACATTTAATATTTGACATTCTCGATAAGAAATTAATAAAATTAAAAATATTTATGAATATCAATTTGGGTTATGTCTAAAGGGATAGTAACTCTTCAATTGATGCGAAATTTGTGTTGATCAATAAATATTATTTTTTATTATGTGCGAACTCTTATACAGAGTGGATTTTTTGGATTGTGGTGAATAATTGTCTTTTAATTTAATCTATTAATTTTGGTAAAAAAGTATATATATCATATTTTAATATAATTTTCTTATAATAAAATTCAAAGTAGAATTTTAAATAATTATAATAATATTTAAACTGCGTTTTTTTAATAAACTCTTATCATATACTTTTATATTACCTAATTTGAATACTCGACGACGGTTATAAAAAAAACGAACAACTGAAGATGTACATCTTAGTACAAAATCGCATTGACTTTTCAAAGAGAACATGTTTACATGTTGACTTCCGTTTCCATAAATGAAAGCATGGAACATATGAACATGCATGGGAAGAAACACAAACAATGAATGACAAGAAGCAAATTAACTCTCTCTCTCTCTCTCTCTCTCTCTCTCCATATATATATATATATATATATATATTACCTTTGATATATAATTAATAAATTTAATTTCATTACATATACATATATCAGTCAACATTTATTAAACTGATTAGATTTGGCATGACATGCTCATCATTAATTCCATCCATCTTTTTATGTTGCAATAATCATCATATTATCTCATTATATATATTTTTCTCTATACCTTAAAATTTACTCAGCTAGTGTAAAATAAAAATAAATAGTAGTAACCCTACAAAATTGGAACATACATTTTAAAATCTTAAAAAAAAAAAAACTTTTCGAGCGTGTACTTGAAGAGCAGGCTTCACTTTGGATTGCTCAAGGACAATCTTACAAGCCCATGGGCTTCAAATCCCAACCATTACCATAGCCCTAACACATTGGCTTTGATTTTTTTATGATAATGTTTTTTTATATAAAAAAAAATCATTAGTGGATTTTTAGGCTTTTTTTTATTGGAGTTATTCTCATCAACTTATCTGTATATATATATATATATATATATTGCTGAAGATAATTGTGTTATAGATTATCATGAAGACATGTCCATGTTTGAAATGACAAAAAGAAAAAAAAAGGAGCCAAAGCTTGAATGAAAGGAGGGGGTCCATGAATGTCTAAAAGAAGAGAGACAAACCATGATTCTAAGGTCATGATAGGTGTCCTATAAAAGGAGCCCCC